TTTTTTTTTTGCTTCCTTTCATTTCCAATCAGCCTCATTACTAAATGCATATTAACTAAACACCAATTTAGAAATATTTATTTTAAAAGTTTATGATCAGAAATGCACATACAAATAATACTGATGTTTGTCTGTACTTTAAAAAGTGCTGAATTACATGATGTTAACTGCTTAAATGAGTTAACGAAGTTGGCACACAATGTATACACAGTTAGGTTTATATTAGAGGTTTTCATTGAAACGGTTGGTTAACTAATTTAGTTTGATATGGCATGTCCATCCAAAGTCTTTCCATCTGTTACAACATTATTTAATCCAGTGGAAAATATTTAATGGAAATATAGCTTCATCAAAGCTGATTGTAGCAGAAAGGCATCCAGACGATAAGTCAGTGTTTGATTTGATTAGTGATCATAAGCTTATGGGCAAAATGCATTATGTCATCTCTGCAGTAGCTTGTACTCAGTGTTTTTCCTTTTTCCATAAATCATCTTTTGACCTTTAAAGTTGCTTTGCAGTGACCCCGTTATGAGTCCTGACACTCAGAAAACAAGTGTTCAGCCTAACAAGGTTCTTAATTACAGTCATCTTTCATACCATGCAAAGAAGCCCCTACCTAATTGGATAAACTGGAAGCAAGTGGCACTTGGGGGTCCTGGGTACTGTGATTAAGAGGTGCTAGCATAATGAATAAGCAAGAGGCCACGGCTTCAGTGGGAGGAAAGCTTGTCTGCCATTTCCTTTCTCAATGGCATCATTAATAACTGCCAAACCCTGGATCCTAATTGCAGGCTGGGACAGTGGCCCAATGGGAGCTGTCGATGTTGAGGCATGCTGTTGAGTAAACACATGCAAGCTTTACAAGAATTACTGCCTGGAAATTTACAAGGCTCTGGATATCCTGCCTGGATGTGCATGTTATGCCCACATTTGAAGCTCTCACAGAGATTTTCCCATGAAGAGAAATGTGCTTCATTGAGCTTCAGCTAAATAGGCTGTCCTTTACTTTTATCAACATTTAATCTTTCTGTGTCTATTTTTTTTAAGTTGTTAAGAAGCTCTTATGAGTTAGAAAAGTTTAACACCAGTTTAAATGAATAGGGGGGGGGGGGGGGGCTAATTCATCCTTCATCTTTAAAAATATTTTACTTCCAGCCACCCAATCATGAAGGAAAATTAGACAAGAAACTTGTTGGTTTGAACTCAGCTGTAGTCTGCACCAGATTTACCCTCATCAGCGCTTTCACAGCCTTTGGGTTGGCACATGGCTCAAGCTACACTTTTATTCCATTCATAATGTTAACCTATAAGGTTTTAGACTCTGTGCCATAACCCGCTGGCTGCACTACCAGCACGAATACCATGCTTTCATTTCAACTTCTCAAGTGTGATACTTCAAATATTTATGTTTTTTCACTCCATCTCCCTGGAAACACGTTTGAAGGTCTCCTAATAGGATTTTTGTGGATTGATTGAATTACTTCAGCATGTAACGGTGAACTTTCCATGGCGAGAGGTGGACGAACAAGTATTTCAGACCTTTTCGCACTGAGTAATGACTACCACTGGTACACTGGGGCGCAATAAGGCATTAATTAACGATTATAAACTTTATTTACTCGTGGTTCACGTTATTACGTGACGACACGTCTCGTTGTTTTAGGCAAAACGCATGGGTCCGGTAGCAACTTTTAGTTGAGTTGTTTATCTTTGCTTATTTTGACTCGTCAACACTCATTTATCTACTCAACATCAATGAAACGGGCTGCATAGTAATAAAAAATGACCACGAGTATTGTAAATGCCCGAGGGCACTGGAACGTACCAACTCGAAAAGGGTGGGGGTGTAAGTGGTGAATAAAACTTCGCCCCTTGTGTGTTGACATATTAAAGACTTTTAGTGTTGCTGGATAATAATTATAACTTTACGAGAACACTGCACAACAACCCGGTGTCCCCGTGTCCGCATTAGTTTGGTAGCCGGGGTTACCTTGTTGCTCGTCTCTCCCCCCGCTGACTTGAACTGCATGTGTACGCGGATATTGTTACAATCAATGCTGAAGGCAGAAGCTCAGCTCTCAGCTGCTTGCAGTCTTGCTTGGTCCTACTCTGAGGACGCTGAACTGGCGGCTGCAACTGCGATAAACTTTTTCTTTTTCGCTTTCCGTTTGTTGAAGATGACCTAACCTCGAAAGAGCCTCTGCTAGCCAGGTAGTAGCACGCTAGTTAAATTGTATGCACTGAACGTCTTTTTCTTTGTTTCTTTCACTGCTCTGAAGCTTACTCTGTTCTTGCTGGGTTTCCCCATATAACTTGTTAGGTTACTTTAAGGACACGTACTTTAAGAAAACATAAATGGCTTTTTGTGGGATGAATTTCTTAAAAGAGTATAAACCTTTTTTGTTCATATAAAAATAAAAAATAACAATGTTAACAATGTTAAACTCTTTTTGGGTGACTGCAACTTAATTGTTCTGCACTCAGTTCCTATGGAGCTTCTAAATAAATATATGTATATAAAATAATCTACATGACCGACCTGGTGTTGCTATAAATGTCCCCGCATAATAACCCGTTTTGAGGTTTAGGGGCTTCACGCAGGCAGCAAGCTCTTTGAGGCTGCAAACTCCCCCTTCATCTGTCAGGCAATGCAGTGAATCTGAGACTGCTGTAAACTACACAGTACCTGTAGGTGGAGAGGCAGTGTGGTTGCTTTGCAGCATTGACACACAGTTCCTCACCACAACCCATGAGATGATGTTAAGAGAAGCTTTAGTGCTTTGAGTCATAAGGCTTGGCTGCACAAGTCGCACCAATCTCCACCGCACATTTAGGTTTTTGTTCTCTTTTCAGAGAGGAATCTGAAATTACTAAATCTTGTGCTTTTTTTCCCTGAGCATCAGAGTAGGTACTTTTTTAGGTTGAGGAGCCCGAAACTATTGGCCACTTTATTCTTCCTCAATTTCAATTCTGTTTTATCAGCTAATATATAAGGCTGAATCCTTGAAGTTCAACCAAAATGTACACTGTTCTTATGACTACGTGACAGAGATGAATGCATTATAAACTAAGACTATGATGTTATGCATATATGAAACTGAAACCTACATGATAAGAACTGATAAGATGCTGATAAGAACAATTATAATTTAGGTTTGTTATCCGCTGGCATAGCTATGAGGCCTCTGTTTTGTTTTAGGCTCAAACTGTAAACGAGGACTCTGAATATAGGGCACAGTGGCAGCAGAGCACTAAACTGCTTATTTGTCATCTTTGTTTCCTTTGTGGGTTAGGAAGTGTTGGCGCTTATGTTTTGGTGCTTATGTTTTGCCCTTTCCGATTCTAACCACAGCTGGCTGAGCTTTGTGGACACCATCAACACAATACCCTGAAGAACTGGTTTGGTATGAGGGTACATTAATTGGAAATATCTGGGAATTTTCACAGGGACACAGAAGCAAGAGGTCATCCTTGACTGGCTAGGTTGGTTGGTAAACTAAACGTTAATGGACGCATATTTGCAGAAAATGAAAATGTCTTCGCAATTGCAAAGGTTAGCTGATGTTCAGATTGGAAGTGAAGCAGAGTGCTTGGGCAGATTTAATCACCTGTCAACTCTAGTGACTATTGGCATGCTGATAGAGGTGTCTCACAAATGCGGGTTTGACTTCGATGTAACCTGTTCTGAGTACTTCTTATCTACTTTTCCAGGTTGGGGAAGATTTTGATCACTACAAAATGCCTTGATTTCCAAAATAAACAATTGCTGGAATCTTTCAGCTTGGTGTGAACAAGTTTGTGAATCTGTAAATGTGCTGTTTGCTCTTGCGAATTATTATGTCTGACTAGGAGCAGGGTGGAAGTGATCTGTCCTGGTGCCAGAGGTCCGCAAAGGTCCAGAAAACAAAAGCAATCTGTTGTCTTCTATCTGTTACTTTGGCTGTTTTATTTAACTTCTAACACGTTTGGAAATGTTGCTACTGGCTAAGCAGGCATATTGAAACAAGTCAATCCATAGGACTTTTTCCAAAAAAGTGAAAACACTCCTCGCGTTGCGAAGGAAGCAGTTTACACATTTTCATCACAGTTCCTGGCGATCGCTTTTTGTACTTAGTGTACTGCAATTGTGCTCAACAACAGCTCTGGTATTGTTCATCTGTAGGCTTGTTTTGGACATACTAGAAACATAATATATGGAGGCAATTAAGGGCGGTGGGTTTTTAAAGGGGATTGCTCTGCACTCCAGTGTGTGCTTAAGACGCACACATTTGCAAGGTCTTTGTGTTGCAGAAAAAAGGCCCTATTAGAACTCTATTCTGTCAGTGGGCAGCTGTGTGCCTGTGTGCTGAGCAAGCCACTGGCCCATTCTCCGTCTGTGTGAACAACTCTCACTCAGTCCACACGCTGACGCACATGCTGCCACTTTCACCCCTCTCTGTCCTTTGCTTTTTGCCTTTTTTGCATTTATTAATCATGCTATTTCTCCTGTTTTTGACTGTTATTTGTCTTTCTGTTCCACTACTGCTCCACTGTTGCTCTCTTTCCCTCCCTTGTTCCCTGACCCAAGGCATTATGCAAACCTACCAGAAAAGGATTGTTAGCCATGGCTGTCTCTACCACCATAGTACTCTTTATTCATTTCAGAAGCTTCCCTTTCTTCTCTGTGACCTGCAGTCATAATTGCTGTGGCTTCAGACACATTTAAACTCACCCCACCTCCCCATTTAGTCTTAAAGAAGTTAAAAACAAATACCTCGGTTATTTGACTCTGTCAATGTATTTGTTTCATTGTCAATATTCCTTGTTTTGTTTATTCCTTCCTCATTAACATGATGGATTTGTAAGTCTGGCGTCAAATCGCCCACAGAGCCACAGACCAGCAGCTGAAAAGAAAAGAAAAGAGGCATTCTCACATACACCAGAGAAGCACTCCCCCAACCCCCCAAGACAGGCACCAGACTCTACTTAAAGATGAAAAGCATTCTGGGATGCAATAGAAATGCTCCAATGAACACTCTGCTCTAGTCTTTATGTGGCGATAGTGAGGAATTATTTAAAAAAGGGAAAGAAAGGATGCCCACTCCGTGTTTGACTCTCAAATAAGTATGTCTTTATTTATTTTAGTCGTTTGCATATGTTGTGTGCATGTGCATAACCTGTATTCTTCTGGAAAACCCCAAATCCCAGGTGAGCCAATATTTTCTCGTGTGTTGCCTTGTGTCATCATAACACCACACTTATGAATGGCAGCGGTTGGCATTCTTCTGTTTATTTTCCTCGACTGCTTTGGATTGGCTTTTCCTTACAATATGAGCCAAAGCATAACTCCAGTCTCATCCGTGCCGTTCTTTACCGTAGATCCAGCCTGATGAAGGAATCTCCCAAATGAGTTCTTTATTTATTTAATAAAAAAACAGACAGAGAGAACTGAAAGCTTCTGTTAGTGTACAGACAGCCTTATCTGATGTATTTTTAGAACCTGTTTTCCACAGTTGTGACAAAACCTAAGCATCTAACTTCCTCTTTCAAGTATTAGGACTCTAATTAATAATGACAATCATTTTTTTGATATATACTAATGTGACACTTAATGTGTTACATCCTTTCACAAGCAGGGTTGTCTGGTCAAACTGGCTTCTCATGACTAGCCTTGCACTAACATTATTATTGATTGGTAATCTAAAGTCATACCCCCCACCCCCACCCCACCCCCGGGAGTTGTACAGCATGTTGGTTCTCAGTATTTGGGATGGACTCTGTTTTACATACTTGTTTTACATGCACCTGCATGTCATTACACAGAAGCTCAACAAGTAGCTTGCTGTGTAACATATTAGATTACTTGAATCAGATGAGCCTATTAACTGCCAAATAACAAATGGTATTATTAAGATTTTGTATATGGAGATTTAACTGAAGTATTACAATTGAGAGTCTTAAGTCAGAGACTGATTGGAATTCTACTGTGTATTACTATGCAAAGAAAGCTCCTGGTCCAACTAGGAAATGTAAAAGCTTTGTCTACAGACATTATCTTGACCTTTACACAGTAGCAGTTTACTTTATTCCAGCACCAATTTGATTTGCTTTCGTTTTTCAACAAAGATGAGTTCAAACAGCGCATCTCACAATTTGAATGTGAAATGGCTTGTTTAAATTATTCCCAGTCATCACTGTTGAAACTAACAGATGTGTTTTAAATTGATAATATGTCTTCTTCCTATTCAGTGCTGCTTAACATAGGACTCATGAGTCCAACATTTACTGTATGTGGTTATTTCAATGAAAAAAACTTAAAATGACACGTCTTCAGTAGGATTTTCAAATATCTGTTTTACATTCCTGGTACACATTATGCTGAGCAGTCAGAGGGTCCATATGGTGAGCTGAGCCCCCTCATGAATGAATGAATGGGCTGATGGAATGCTGCTCATAGTTTTTGTTCTGAAATTCTCCCACCGATACTCACTAAAAACTCACCCACATCTCCAAAAAATGTATGTAATAGAGCAGCAGAAAGTAATTGATTAATTACTCAGTGCTGCCAACATATTTTAGAAACTATCGGTGGAACTTGGCTCCAACAGGGCCGCATGGCTAAACAGCCTCCATCTCTCATGATGGTATGTGTAGCACTGTTTTGCATGGCGGCTTCATACACAAAGTCAGTGTAATTGTTGTTTTGTAGAGCCCTTTTGCTTAGACTCCTCTTGCATATAACAGCAGACCTACTGTATATCTTTATGTTAATAAGCATGAGTATGCGAAAGCTTATGGCTAATTAACATACCATTACATATGAATATTATAAAAGTTTATTTTTCAACCTTGATGTACACAGTTTGGCATTTACACAAATGCCTTTTGTGCTCATTTGGACTGCACACTTCACCACAAAGCTTTTCTAACTTACCACTAGTGCCGTATTTAATGTCAGTGAGGAAGCAATTCCTCCTGCTTCTCCAGTCACTGCTGTCACGAAATCATCTTCATTTGTTTGATTTGACACCATTGTGCTTCACATAACAACAGAAGCACTTTTAACCTCATATCGGCTGCAGCACCATGGGCCACTGGCTCTATACAACACTTTCATGGACTACTTACATGCTGAGGACACTATATAGAAATCAACTGGTTTTAAGAAAATGTATTTGTAAATTATGAGCTCTATCATTTTAGTGATTACAGTATATATGATAATATTATGTGTTAGACTGAAGATGACTGCTGCTCTGCCAGAAGCATGCGATCTCTCTTTTTCTAATAAGCATGGTTGTTAGAATTTGGTTAGCATTGCTAAACTATGATACAGTAGCCACATCTCTCTGACAGTTTTTCAGATTGACTTTGAGTCATTGATGACTTATGCTTTGACTACTGTTAAAAATCTCGTGTAATAGCACTAGTCAAAGACTGTTCATTTTCAAGCATGTTGAATTTTTGGATTTGTGTTCTTTTCATTAGACAATGTGGAGTTTGGATTGGAGGGGGAGGGGGGGTGTATGTGTCTAGTAATTTAGTAATTTGTTGTTTTTTTTTCTCATTCAAACTAGAGTTATTATATTGATCTTTAAAAATCTACTATATAGGGTACTTATTAGGTCATTGGTACTGACAGTAAGTATAACATCACTTGTTTATACAGCATAGGAATGGCCCCTCCTATTGAGCTAAGCAATTGCTTGGGATTGCTAGCAGAACTGGAGCCTCTGGTGTATGTAATGTACCCCTAATGGATTAGAGCTCTAGTGTGTACAGAACAGAAAATGGAAGAAACCACAGGCAGAAAAGCAAGGATTGCTGGGTCAGTTGGAGAGGACAGTATAATTAGTGTGGTACCTACTCAAACACCTGATCCTATGCCTGTCAAGCTCCTTAAGCTTTCGGTTAACTAAACCCTAGTCTAAGAAACAGAGGTCAACCCCTAATAAATTTAAGGCTACCCTAAATAGAAAGAGTGTGGTGTGTTTGCGGGTTACATGTCACAGTGCTTCACCTTAGTAAACTGGCCTTGCTCAATAGTCCAGTTTCCTATGACAAACAGATTTACTGATAAAGACTGATGAGCTGTCCAGACATTATTATTCACTAGATGGGTGACATCTGCCTTTTTCACATCACCAGTTGTCATTGTTGTCTTCTGTTGTGTGCTTGGCTGCTATGGCTACCTATTAAATCCTAGAAACAGTGTACTACCTAGCAACTGTTTTGTGTCTTAAGTCAGAGTGAAACTACCCCAGGAAGTATCAGAGATTCATTTTTGTGGGAAAAAAACCCAAAACAAAAACTTTGACAATTTTACCTAACATATAGTAGATAACCTATCCGCTCTCAGGCTGTAAATCTATGATTAAATAAATGTTAATGTGAAATGATGGTAGAATATGTGTATGTGAAGTTAACTCGTTGCCACAATGCTCTGTGGATATCACTTGGGGCTTTCTCCTTTCATGTATTTAGTAATGAAGTCAGTATGTTCCACACCCAATTCAGCAGTGGCATGTCATGTGACCACAAGGGAAGTAGAACTCCTGCAGTGCAAAGGGAAGTGTGCTTGCTTATGTGAATTATGTTAGTGTCTTCATGCCAACATAGTCGAGATAAGAAGACCAGTATTAACTGGACTTGCAAGTTAATTCTAAAGAAAGCTTTGGGGTTCATGTTTACTGCTCTTATTTCTATTGTAGATCTGTTGTTAAGAGTAACAGCAACTTAAATTGGAGCTTCAAGGCTGTATTCATGCAGAGATTAATGGTCACTGTCATGAGAGAAGCATTCAGGGTAATCTCCAAAAAACTTGACTACTTAAAATACATAAAGTTTCACTGAATAAGCTTTTCAGTGTTTATGTACCTTTGAAGGAGTAGACGGTACTAGGGTGATAGCCAAAAGATTCAATGGTATGTCTTGACCTCCCAGACCATTTTTACAACCTCGACCACATTATCCAAGAGAGGGGTCGCTGTGTGTTCACTCTGAATTAACAATGGACATCTTAGGCTTTCACAAAAGAAAGCCTCCTTTATTCTTTTTAAGGCTTTCATTTAGTTTCTCATGGACATCTGAACTATTTAGAACAGGTGTCAGCATCTAGCCTTTTCTGACATTTAGTGCCACTTTGATTAAGGAAAACTGTGACAGTAATTTAATTTAATCTTATCAAAACAAGAATGTGATCTGCTGAGGCTTTCCAGCCATGCCATATTTTGAATATTTGGGCTTCAACATTTCATTAGTGCCAATTGAACTGGTTTCCTCCAAGTACAGCAACTGATCAAAGTCCTGACACCAGACGCACTCCACACAAGTATGCAGCAACCAGAGCCAATTAGTGATGGACACCAAACACCCCGTTACAGAACTTTAGGGGGGGCGCAAATAGGGTTCTATTTATCTGCCTGTACAAATCACAGCCTGGGCAAAGAGCCACATTATCTTAGCTGCTCTTTCTTGTGCCCTCCTGAGTCACTAACTATTGTGAGCCAAGAGCTGCTTTCTGCATCCCAGCATACACAAATCAGTTCTTGAAGTACCAGTGGATTTGAACCCACTTATGGTCAAAGTTTTGTTAGTTCGATAAGTTACGACTCAGCAAATATCATATATATTTGAGATTTATTGGGAAAGATTTCCTTTATTTGAATCAAATAGGGCTGAGATGGGATCTGACAAAACAATTGATGAACCTCAGTCATTTTATCCTTGACAGGCAAAGCAGTATCGCAAGTTGCTCTATAGCAGGGGTGGGCAACTCCAGGCCTCGAGGGCCGGTGTCCTGCAGGTTTTAGATATCACCCTGGGTCAAAAAACCTGAATCAAATGATTAGTTCATTACCAGGCCTCTGGAGAATTATAAGACATGTTGAAGAGGTAATTTAGCCATTTGAATCAGCTGTGTTGGATCAAGGACACATCTAAAACCTGCAGGACACTGGCCCTCGAGGCCTGGAGTTGCCCACCCCTGATCTATAGCAAGTGGAAGTCTTTGACTAAATCAGTCGGTGCTTTGTGCAGTGTTCACTGTTTTGTACTGTTGAGCTATAAAAAAAAGTAATTAGTATAATAAAAGTATTAAGTTACAAAAAAAGCACCTGTCCCATCACATTCATCATAATATGAGACTCTAATGAAGGGAGAAGTAGCTCTTCCAGTTTCAGTTTTACGCCTCATTTAGTATCCACAATGTCTTCCCTGGTATCTTAACTGTAAAGGATGAGACAAATCGTCATTTAAGTCACTTGCTTTGTTTGATGATCAGCCTGACTTATGATAACAAAAACGACATTTTTCTGTGTGGGACATGCAGCTGAGTTTGTGAGATTTTGTCTGGCTTTATGAAACATATTTAACTTAAAGCTTAGTAAAATTGATAGTGTAATGTCAGGCTGTTTGATCATAAATCATAATCACAGCTATTTAACAATTGTTCAGTTACTGTGGAAACACAAATTTACTGAGCAGTAGATTTCCTCAACAGTGCATTTCCTTCCTCAGGGGTGGGGTACAACCCTCACTATCACAAATCACTCAGCCCACAGTACAGGTTCCACTACCCTGCAGTATTGTCACAACTAGGCAGGCCTTTGAGGTGTTCATTTATGGCCCCACAGATTTTATCTTTGCACCATGAGGCAAGCACATGAGTGAAACAGGTCCGTCTGCGGCCCTTTAAGATTGCTTTCACAACGACATATTATCCGTAGGATAAAACCAACTTCTCTTAAGATGGTATTTTTCAGATGATCCAACCTTACCTGTCATTTCACCAGTGCTTGGTGAACAATGCTTTTGTTTTCAGGGAGGCAAGACAGGAAAAAGGTTGATGTTGTGCTGGATATATAAAAACACAGTAATGATTGTTTTTATCATCTTTGAAGACCAAAGTTGTAAAAATGATATTTAATTCTTCTCTCAGTGGTGTGTAACAGGGACTCATCAAACCTCAGATGAACTGATAATTTCCTGGGTTTTTGTTAGGACTGACATCTAGTCAAACAAAAAGGCTTTTCAAACAGTGTGATGTAGCCAGCAAGGACTCTTGTTTTGAAGAGCAAAAATCTGATCGGATCTGAAAATGGCTCTGCACAAGTGCTCTACACAGCCCATTAAGCTCTGGTTTCCCCATCATGAGAAGTCGGTTCATTAAATAAGCATGGCTCCAGGCTTGAATTCACACTCGGTCTGCCCTCTCCCATGACCCTGCTTGCCAGTCACTACACACACAAGTGCAGGTTAGCATAAGCAGACATGAATGTACAGAAACACATGCACAGCTAGCTCTTGTTCTCAGTGTGGAGATGCTGTTTCAGCCTTGATCGGACAAGTCACGCTTCCTACCTGCATCAGTCAAACGGCACAATAGAACAACCTTTACACACAGCCGTCACGCTCCTCGACCCTTATTCTGATTAACACACACACACACACACACACACACACACACACACTGCAATACATTGCCCCACCCGTTACTCAGAGTCACTTCTAATCAGTAGAGTAATCTGCAAAACTGATTATGAAGAACATACTCTTTACTTTTTACTCCCACTAACAGTACCACCTTCTCTTGCCTGTGGAGGCCCGGTTGTGCTCCACCGACTCTCTGAAATGAATGGAGATAATGGGAGTCATATGCCGGCTTTTGGTTTCAGGCAGGCCTACATGAAACATTTATTTACTTAGTCTTTATGTAGTCATGGGGCTGGAAACAAGAAAAGGGACAGAGATGACATTGTTAAGTCGGAAGACATGACTAGACTGGTTTAAAAAAACAAAACACTTTTTATCGATCCATGTTGTTGTTGTTGTTGTTTTGTTTTTTTTCCTCTACAGAAGTCAGTTTTTTTTCAGTGGTGCACACTTCTCCATAAAGCATCTTGTGTAAGTGCAACAACCCTTACTTAACACAAAACCACATGTTTCATGGGCAGGATAGCATAGTAGGCCTGGAAGATCCATTAGCCTCATGTGTTGCTCCGGAGTCGAAAGCTGTCATTAGCCAGCAGTTGATTGGGGATCTGAACTATGCTGGTACTCTCTAATTGGATACTGTCAGTGTGTTTGGTGGTTGGTAAATGACGGAGTCCAAAGTCACTGCAGCTACTTTTATTAAAGAAAGCATAACTGAACTTGCCCATCCTCCGCCATAGTCATTCACATGCATTGAAAAACATCAGAAAGGCTGAGTTGAGCAGATGTGACAAGGCATGTTTGTCCCAAAAAAAAAAAAGATATAGACCATCTGCCATACATATAAAGCTTTTAACGGTTGTGTTTACCGAAGCAGCTTCTGTCTGGACTTTGCTATGTGTGGGTGCAGGCAGTCTTTGAGTTAACCGCAGCTCCATATATGCTTCTTTTCTGTTCGTGGTTTCTAGCCACATCTGTAGTCATGTGACGTGAGTAATGTCTTTTCCTGAATTAGCTAAAGCTAGCCTTCTGTTACAGCATGTTTAGATTCCCCTGTGTTCAGGGTAATATTGCTGACAGGCCAAATGTTCTGTTATCCACAGGGATGAGGAAGCAGTTTAACATATATCAGCACATTTTCTTTTAAAGCTAGTAGGTTGATAGGTGTGTGTATGTAGTGTGTGGATCTATATCGATGACTGAAGTTGCTGTACGTTTTCGGATTTTAAATGCTGAATGGAAAAACTTAAGGTGTGCATATAGCAAACATGTATCGCATTCAACCGTGCCCCTTTCAATCACTGTTATGGGTATGTTAGTTAAAGCAGTGAGGAATGTAGATATTGAAGTGATTTATCTGTGAATGACAGTTATCACCTCACAGATTGATTAAAAAGGCAACCTGTTTGTATTTGTGAGAAACCTTTCTCTCAAGACACGTTTTAAGACAAAAATGCACATGCCATGCTTTTTGTGTTTGTGAAAAATCTTAATGAGAATGGCACAGAACAAGTTAAAGCAGCCACAATTGGGGTTAAGAAGCCAGATTTGGCACACTATTGATTGTTATGGCTATGCTTAAACCTGAGCTTTATTTAGGCCCTGCTTCTTGCCCATGTCTTGTAGCCAGAAACATCCTTTGCACTTTAATTAAATTAGTAATGTTTTTATTTCCCTTTTTTTTCCATGAATACAGAGATTGGCTGACATTTGAGAGACCTACCTCCACCACCTTCACAAGTACTGCTCTTCAAATGGGAAATCTTCCTCTGCTTTTTGCCCAAATGCACTGTCTGCCCTCTGCTCTCATATAAGATGGCTGCCTGTGGCCTTTTTCTGCACCTGAACAGACTGGAGCAGAGCTACTTGCTACCATGGTGATTGTTTTCTCACAAACACTGGAAAAGAAGAAGGCTGCCAATGATGTAACGTCCAAGAGTATCGAGCGACGGCTGGTGAGAGAAACTTTACGTTTTGACTTTAACACAAGGCAAGCTTGTAGGTAGTGTACCCACAAGCATGTTAGACCACGATAAGTTGTTCACTAAAGGATTTTAGATGTCTTTAACTGTCATTAATATGATAGATACATTTTCACTTTTGAGGTTCTCTTACTCAGAGGAGACGTTCAGTGTGAGCTTTATAATTGTCCCTTGAAGACAAAGAGTTCTAGGATGTGTTAGCCTAGAACAAGAAGGAACCAGTTCCCTAATAAAATAAAGGGAACTGGTTCAAAATCATTCCAAAATGTCAATGCATGGTGGATCAGTGGTTATAGCTATTGGCTCACAACAAGAGGGTTTCTTCAGGAGCTTTTTCCTACTAGTGGAAAAAAATGGTTGTTTAATGTTGCCTGTGCCAAGACAGTCTTGCAAAAGACATTCTAAATGTCAAGAGTTTCACTTCCTGAGACCGGTTAACAATCCCCTGCTAATCACTGGTTGCTTGGGAAAAATGTGTATTCTCCAGCCAGTTGGCAAGTGGTTGCAGGAGGTTGCTTGCTGTCAGTTGGTGAAATTGGTTGCGAAGAAGAATGCTGCACTGAAAACCTCCTCCCAGATTGTTGCAGCCGCCCCCCCGTAGCACTCACCAACTACTCTGAGCGGTAGTGAAATGGTGAAAAGTGTGATGCAAAATGGTGATATTTGCTTTCAGTATAAAAGCTGTGCCTTTTGAAATTTGTTAGTTTGAGCGGTAAGGCTCAACTTTTATTTTACAGGCTGCAGCACTTTTTAACTCACCACCAAGCAGCAGTGAAAATGTAGAGTGTTTGCACTTTACATCAGAACTACAGGTGACTGTGGCAATATTCAAGCAAGCAAGTTTTTGGTACAGCATACTCTTTGCGACTGATTACACTCAACAAAGGTCAGTGGCCTCCAGCGAGCCAGTCAGGAGAATAAACGTTATTCTTTAGTGAATGATCTGTGTGACTAAAACTTTTAAAAAAAAGCAACGTATGGAACAAAAAAGAGCTTTTTTAAAATTTCAGTCAAAATGTTATTTTTGGTGTGTCACCCCTGAGAATTATTTCACTTTTTGTTTTTTTTAACCAGCACCTAGGTTTCACTTCTCAAAGTAAAATAGGGGTTATTTACATTTTATTTTTATCTCACTACTCCATTCAGACAAGCACGGGAGAGTAGTTTTCACTTTCCCGCTTTTATCATGCTGCTTATATGCAGTTTTTAATCTACAAAATCTCAACACTCCTTCAAGCGCTTGGATGGTGAAGGATCACAAACATTTCTTGACACGTTTAACATCAATATGATTTGTTCTGAAACGTCCAGGAATTATTTTCTTGGGCCCAACAAGTCTTAAATGTTTTTCTTTTGTTAAACCTCAGAGAATGACGTACGTCTTATATAATATGCTGTAAATGTAATCGCATGCATAATTTAAAAAAAAAAGATCAAAAAGGCTTATGGACAGAGGTTTTTCACTGCTACCTTTGCATTCATCAGCTGCTCACGTTAAAGGCCTGGGGGTTTAGTGTACTAATTCTGTCATTTGATCGTCTCCTATGGCACAATAGCCTTTATTTTGAGTTCTAGGCTTAGTATCTTAGAAAACTTTTTGTTTTTGTTTTGTTATAATAACCTCAAGGCGAGTCACTGCAGTGAAATGTGGCATTTTCTTTTTTGTTCTGTGTGCAGATAGCCAACACCCTCTTGTAAGAAATTAACTATGGGATGGATGGGTGTCTGATTAAAAGATAAGTGGGTGTAGGCAAAACTGTTTTATACTCCCCTAATAGCCTTTGTACCTTAAACCCAAGAAATAAAACAGGTGCGTTACAAAATTTAGCTAAACGTTCTTTTGTATTGTAAAATCATTGTCCAGCTGTCCTTGAAGGTATTTCATGCACCTTGCAGTGAGTTAAAGGATAATCTTTAGGAAGTAGTTTCCAGCTCTGACAAAAGTGAAAGTGTAAAACCAGTCCAAAAGAGTGTAATTCACCCACTGGATAATGGACTACACTCTTGAATCCTTGAGTTTTAAGTAGCAACAATAGCAGCGATGGTGTGTTAAGCTGCTTGTGCTAGCTAGCTAGCTAGCTTGGGTAGGTGTAACTGTAATTTACTATGATGTCAAAGGACTTGAGACTTAACTAGCTTTAACATTAGAAACTATTTAAATGCGCAAGTCTTACAAAAATTTATTAAAATTTATATACAAGCGTAAATTATTATGAAGCGTAAATTAGTGCAGTTTTTTGTTTAGTAAGCTTGTTGGGAAACACCCTACATATTCAGCAAGAATGGAGCAAATTAGCATTCATTTGGAGTCTTTATTCATGGAGTCTAATGCTCACTCTTTTGTGCACTGCTTATTCTCCGCCTCCTCTTCAGAAATGTATCTAATTCTTTAGTCACCCGCTAGTTGCTGAGTATGAGGTAGTTGTTGCTGTGAACCAAAACGGTAAACTCGCAGACCATAAAACGTAAACAGTAAGCTTAAAGTAAGTAACCATTTGCATTGGCTTTGGTTGACGCAGATCTTTGGCTATTTCACACTGGTCGTTTGGCAGCAGCGTGTAAATAATCCTGACCTCAAAATGAAGACAAATCAGTCTTCTCATTTGATTTGAGGGCTGAACTTTTGTTCCTTGGCTTTTGTTCTTGACTTTTGCTTTATGTTCGCCTGTGCCCTCAACAGTGTGAGGTCCCCACCATGAGCAGAGGGACCACCCTCCTCTCCCGTGGAACCGTAGGTGAGTTATCTTCATTATCACTCGTTATGTCTTTCTGTTTGTCTTTCCCCCTTTGCTCCTGCTTCCATTTATTAAACGCCATCCCTCTGTGCTCTGCATTTAACATCTGGAAAAAGCAGTGGCTGTTAAAATTTATTTGTTAAAAAACATTTCACAACTGATATAACACAAGTAATTGTCGCCTTTAATTCCCCAATAAGTTGAAGTATCAAAATCAGCGATTGCAGTCGTCTTGTTGTTTATCCCCTGCCACACTCGATCACTCACTTCTCCCTTTTCCATCTGTCACTCATCCCCCACTCATGATCAGAGTGCACCTGCCTCCACACAACGTTGCACAGCACTCTCATGGGAGTGAACTGTAATTGAATATTCTGCTGCCTATGTCAACAATTTCCCTTTAGCTGTGTTTGTGTAATTATCCTCTGTGTTAAAAGAAATACTACTGTCAAGACAAGGCCAGCTATCTCCCACTGCCCTCTTTTTTTTCTTCCCTTTCCCTCCCCCTCTTTCTTTTGGGTAAAGATTTTTCCACTGTTAATCCTGACATTAAAATTGGCTTGCGTGTTTTGTTAGTTCAACCACTTTGTCTTTTGCTTTCAAATGGTGGCCTTTTGAAGTTCATCCCTTTCTCCTTTTGTCCAGTTGTTTTCCTAACATTCCTGTCAGGTCGTCACTGTAGCCCCCGTACATTGTTTGTCCAGCCAAAACAATGATTTCCGTCCAGTAGTCTGGGAGAGAGCGTGCCAGAATTGGAGGCAAGCATCCAAAAGGATGGTTTTTGGATCAGCAAGGGGCTCTTTTTGACAAAAGCTTCAATAGAGTCGAACTTAGCCACACTTTACTGTAGGTGTATTATCCTCCACAAAACTCTTTTGTCCCGATGGTGAGACAGCTGGAAATTCATACTGCTTTGACGCATATCCTACTAACCACTTGACTAATGGGAGTGACTGCCCAACTGTTTCACTGGCTGATTCTTATCATAATGTGCAGTTCATGTTTTTGGAATCAACGTTCTTGCATGTCCAAGTTTTAAATAGTCAGGAATGTTACTGCTGGAAACTTAAAAAAATGGCCAACATAGCAGTCAGTGGAGTGAGCTGGTTCGTGCTGAGGAAGAGAATTTATTGTAATCTGGGTTTTTTTGTGTGTTTTTTGTTTTGTTTGTGTGTGTGTGTGTTGGTGTTTTAAACCACAGTATTATTTATTTATTTGCATATTTAACTCTAAAAGTAATGGAGGCAGAAATGTGTTTCTCATGCTCGGAAACAGTAATGTGCCAGTAAGAACTCACAGCTGAGGTTTCACTGCATGTCCTGCAGCTGTTTATGTGAAAAACAAGCAGACAGACAGTGATCTTGTTGAGTCCTACTGGGCATGTAGTGTGTTATACTGAGCATTGTGACTTTTTGGGGGGTGGGCAGCCAACTTTTTAAGACTTTTAAAACATTTCCATCTTTGAATGCACAGATTTTTTTTTTCCCAGAAAATGACTTTTTTGACTTTTTTTTTTCTTTCAACATTATTGGGAATTTTCAGTCCAGCTTTCATTACAGTTACTGAGGAGCAGCACTGGTTTGAACTGTTCAACTGGTAGTTTTATTTCCTCTAGGCATAACCTTGTCAATCATGTTAAGACAAACAACCTCCCACCCCTTTTTTGTAATTCTCCAAAGCTCATGATTTCTTTTTTGTTGTTGTTGTTGTTGTTGTTTCTACTTAGCTGTTTCTTTCTTCTTAGTTTAATAGCTCACCATTGCAGTAAGCAGACAATAATCTCCCTTTATTCTTCCAAACAGTTTGTTCTTACACCAACCAATCCTCTTTGCCTTAAGCTTATTTCTGCTTGTGTGTTTCTTTGTGTCTTTGTTGTTAAGTACTAAATTATCCTTCCAGATATTGCTGCTAGAATTCATCATGCTCTAGTTAACAAATGCAGTTTTTGCTTAATATTGCTTGCCGCACAGATAAAGATGTGTCAGAAGGGCTGCTGTTGAGGTCAATTAGTGTGAGGCTTTTATGTTTTCCCTATTACAGAGGCAGATAGATGGTTGGATATGGGGCGAAGCTGTGCCATCCAGCAGAGAGCTCCATGCCAGTCTGGTACTCCTCTATGGGATGTGACGCCTGATCACAACAGCCACTGTGCCAAGGAACCAGGCAGCACCACAGCAATCACCAGCCTGATAAGAGATCTGAGTCTCTGCAACAGCACTCACGCCGCATCCACCACTGCACACTACACCACTACGGCTACCAGCCAAACTCCTACGGCACCCCCGAGCAAACGTCAGTGTCGCTCTCTGTCACTCTCTGAAGAATTCACTGGCTTCCGCTCATCTTGGAGGCCCCAAGGGTCCCGAGTATGGACAACGGTTGAGAAACGAAGGTGCCACAGTGGAGGGAGTGTCAGAGGTGGGGGAAGCCATTTTCCCACCATGCAGCGTAGCTCCAGCTTTAGTTTGCCCTCACACTCCAGCATCACTTTTGATGGAATCCAGGACCTGCCATTCTTCAACCAGCCGCTGCCTCTCCATCCTCAATTCACTGCCTCTCCAGTCTCCCCTACCTCTCTTGCCACACATCATCACCACTCCCAAAATCACGTCTTCCTCAGGCCTCTCTCACTTTCCCATGAGCAGATCAGCCTGCCAGAACACCAGAGGGAAGAGGCATCGGAGACCAGCTCTTCAGACTCCACCCCAGAGCTGGGGAGACGAGCTAGCCAGAGAGCCAGGGGAAAGGGGTGTTTGTCTCGGAGCAGGTCTCAGCCCTGTGTGCTAAATGAGAAAAAGGTCGGCATGAAGCGCAGGAGACCAGAAGATGCTCAGGAGCAGCGGCCCTCTCTGGACTTGACAAAGATGACTCAGGTTAGCTGGAAATGTTGAACATATGTTGACCTGCACAGACAAGCACTTACATATTCATTGATTTGAATGCATTCAATTGGAATTTGACTAATTTCAGAGTTTAATATTATATGTGTTTGCTGATTGCACACAAATGAGTATCAGCTTATTTCTAATCTTGCTTTAATGCTGGAAAATGCGCTCTGTTGCATTCACTTTAATCTTGAACCAGATGCACTTACAACACAGACAAATGCTTTTTTGTTCTTAGACTAAAGGGAAGTTCAAGACATCTTCAAACAAAACTAAGTCTGTCTCTTTCTCTCAGAGTTTGATCAGGGAGTGGATTAAATTAAACTGTATTAAGTTTTCTGCGTCGTCAGTCCGGGGCTTCGAGGCTAAGTGATCTCAGGCTTTCCTCCCTCTAGCTTAGGGAGCGGTGCTTACTAAGAAAGCATTCCTCATGTTCAGTCACGCTGCCTTGAACCACTCTCTAGCAAGGCCCTCTCGTGTTTATAATTTCATTAACTCTGTTGGGTAAACAAGTCTATCCAAAGGTTGGACTTCTCACCATTTATTTGCTTCCTCTCTGCAACTCCTACCCAATATTTCTACCTGTCAGAAAAAGCGGCAGTGAATTATGGGTATATTTGGATGCACAGAGCTCTGGATGGATTTCCCAATGTCAAGAGTTTTTGTTCTTTTGTAAGGTCAGAGGAAACAGTGCAACAGCCAGAGAGTAAACCCAAACCCAAAATAGATCCAGAGAAGTATTTTAATGACATGAACTCTTTTGATATTTGGCAGAGCTGTGTTTCTTCTTTTTTTCTAGTGCCCTGAAAGATCTTGATCTGATTCTTGTATCACATTCAGCTCATTATTTATGTGAATGCTCTGGGAATTTTACACATTGTCCTATTTACCCATCCTTTCCTGATCACTTAAGTCATTTGATACTCAAAAATCATCCTTCACAGTACCTTGTTTCAGGAAAATATTGTAATTTTCCTGTCTCTTACTAGAAAGTTATCATCAGTTCATCCATATACCCCCCTTTTCCTTTCTGGAAATAATATTAGTTCCCAGCCAGTCATACTTAGGACCTAGCCAGGGTTGGATTAACAAGGCATGGGTAATGGAGCCTAGCAAACATGTTTCCCCTTGTATTGCCAGCTTCTAAGAGGGGAAAAATTAGGCATGCAACATATAAAGAACGAATCCACAAACACACACATGGAGCCAGTTTTACATTAACTCGACTAGGGCTGTTCGATATAACGATATATATTGGATGACGATATAAAAACATCTATCGTTTCATTTTACACTATCGTTTGTTTCATGGTGTCGCAAAATAAACTGTTTACAGCAATATTTTTTCATCGTTTTGATGGTCACTGTGGTGGCTATATTCATTTCCTAAAGTTTTCTCTTTCTCTTATATTTAATATAACCACACTACGGACGGACAAGTGCCTGTTTTTATGCGTTGTCGTTAGCAAACACGACGGTAAAACCATCGCGTGTCCGCTTGTTTATTTTCCACATACCGTAAACATATTTTTCACAATAAAGCTCAAGATCCTGTTGAGACTTTTCAAAATAAACGGAATCACGTGAAATAGTATGCAGAGTATTGACGGGTGAGAAGCAAAAAAAGAGCCGTCAGGTGCTAAAAAATAGATTGGACTCAAACGTTAGAATAGGCTTTTCCCCGCAGCACGCTGTGTAATAAATACTCATAAAGAAAACGGCGGCCGCTACAACTTATGTCTAAAAAGATATATTTTCACGCATCAGTTAAAAACTCGACTCCAGGTACACGACGCCCAGCTAGAATCACTTCACGCAAGTTGAGCTTCCAGAGATTCACAGAATTTAAAGAAAATGTTAAATTTTTGTGATTTTTATATCGTTATCGGGCGATAGATGTCTTATATTGGGATATGAGATTTTGGTCATATCGCACAGCCCTAAACGAGACTTGCCATTAGTCATTGCCATTACTCTGCCAGTTACAGATTATTGTCAGCAAATTATCTATTCTCAAAGGTTAGCGGGTCAAAAAATGTTTTCACTTTTTTCGGGGGTTTGAGTCGACTTGTATGAGTGCATGTTGATGAAAGGAGTCCGGTCGTACAGGTTAGATGGGTCATTTCAGATCTACTGTAACCATGTTTAAATTCTCATCCTGTAAAGCATTGCATACAGTAAAGCATTGCATACAACAAAGATAGTATGATTAATACCTACTCCCTTGCTTCATTTTCTTTTCCTGTTATTGAGACTTGATGTCAATAACTAAACCAGGTCAAGTTTGGCCAGGAACTTAAACAAGCAGGGTTGTAATATCTCACTCTAAGTTTAATAAACCAAAAGCACAAAGAAGATTCCGCTGGAGATTGACATTGTTGTTACCAAAAGTGGTTGACCTTTGTGAGAGCCTAGGGAAAGAAAAAGATCCCAGCTGGCAGACTGTCTGGAAAAGGAAGTGTTAATGTGGAAAACTAGGGCTGGTTACAACCTGTGTCTGATCTACAGAGGATAGAACATGCAAAGTACTGCCAGGGTTGGGAATATAATAGATTTCACCAACTCTGATTGGAAATCAGTTATTTAATGTGATCTTTCTTCTGATGTTATATATTTGAGCATCACAAGACTTCTTAACTGGCCTCTGTGTCATTGAAGTGGCAGTTGTTTTTTTTTCCCCCCCTGGTTACGCACACACAATTCCTCCCACTCTTTCTCAAGAACTGGGTGAGTCTAATGACAACATTATTACTTTTCATACCTATGTAAACAGTAGATTTTTTTTTTGATTTTTTTTTTTTTTACTGTAGGTGTGTTTTGAGTAATGCTGTCTAACATTGATTAAAAGAATAGCAAACATGTTGTAGATGGGGCAGGAAACTGTGACATTTGTCTGAACTGCAGTGGATACAGACAGGTGTTGTTTGATTAATTTTCTATGGAACGTGCGCCAGAGACTCGCCGAGTGAAGGATCATGGTGGTCAACAAGCCCTCAGTGTGAGTTAGTGGAACATGGTGTAATTTGGCCTTTAGATTCCTCGACCACGTCAATGAAGGCGGGTGTGAATTCTGGGGATGCATGTCATGCTAATCAGCTATAACTTGACTACCATGGGGATTTACATGCAGCCACCCCCAAAATTCCTTGAATGTCCTCCCAGTCAGCCATGTAGATAAGTTATCTCTGCCTGCCCTTCCACCTTGGCCTGTCATTGTTGTCTTTCTTGGGGGATTGTTTTTTTGTTTGTTGTTTTTTTTTTTTTTTAATGGACTGGCTATTGGGCATAGCAAACTCCATGTCCTTCACTGAATGATTGTTGACACTTCTTGCACAGTGAATTTGAGGAAGCTGTGTGCTTAAGTCCAGCCTGGTCAGTTAACTTCCGCTGGGCTATTGTCCATTTTTTTCCAAAATATTTAAATTTGTAAGTGTGTGTGTGTGTGTGTGTGTGTGTGTAAGTGTGTGTGTGTGTGTGTGTGTGTACAAACTTGTATCCCTCCCTATTAATATTTTCTTTCTCCTGGCCCAAGTTCTGCTCTGGTCTTCCCCTCCTTCTTCCATCACACACACTTCATTCCTTGGATGGCAGACATGATGATCATAACTGAGCCCTGCATGCTTGTGGGAACACCTAGGTAGGCGTCTTGAGGTGCAGCTCTCACCGGGTATAATGACATGTTGTGACTTGTCATAAATGTGCATTGTAGAGCATCGCCAAACATTAGTCTGTAGTCACACATTATTATCGCCTACACTTTTTCAACATCTGACAGCCCAACACTTTTGTCTTTTATCATCATTTTACCTCTGGGCATTTGCATGAATAAGCCAGGCATTCTGTCTGCAGAGGAGTAAAATAGTAGATGAATACACACACCAAAACAAAGACTGTGTGTGAATGTCTGTTATAGTCTCCTGTCTTTGCTTGCACCTCCTTGTCCTCTCTTTTGCTTCACAGTTGTTTGTCGCTGGAGGTCTGATTGCATGTCATCCTCAGACCAGTGTGTCTCTGAATGTTTATGTGACCTAATTTCGGCACAGAGCTAAACCAAAGAAGCACTATCGACTCGTATACTAATAATCTGAAGTTGCACAGTGAATGCAATGTAAAGTACCTGCACCTCCCAGTAGTGTACTATATGTGTGATTGTGGTTGTAGTTTGGTTCACAACAGGGCCTTTGCATAGCATTTAGCTCGGTGATTTTAGTTGTTTACCCAAATCATCAGGAGGGTATTTGCCTAACCTCCTGGCATGTGCTTGTGCTTCTTTGACAGCAGCTGCCTTTTGAACCCATGCTCTAAATAACATCCTTACAGTCCAAGCCATTGTTGTTTAGATCACGGTATAAAATAATCCACACTCTCTATGAAAACACCACTTGGCTCTAAAATATGTATTCTTATAGGATTTTGGTGAATATTAAACGTAAAAACAAAAAAGGTATAAACCAATCCAGTGGATCTCATGTCTTGTTCACTTTTTCTATTCAACATTCAAACATGACTTGCTGGAAGGCATGCGTGGCTGTGGTAGACCTGATGTGTCAGATATAACTGAAAACCATGCTCTCATTTCCCTTAATGTGTATGGCAGCATTGATGAAGTTGTACGGTTAAAACATGGTACTGCTTGGGACTATGCTGAGTTTTGCAGAGGCATGTATACAGTGCTGTGCAAAAGTCTTGAGCCACCTTTCATTTCTCTATATTTTCTTAAGAAAATGTAAAAAAAAAAAATTCTTTTTTTGTTTGCTTGGGTTTTTTTTAGCATGTGAAAACATACAAAGAAGTGTATCTTTATTCTTCAAAAAAGCTTGAACTCACTTGGAGCGATCGTGGCTCAAGAGTTGGGAGTTTGCCTTGTAATCGGAAGGTTGCCGATTCGAGCCCTGGCTTGGACAGTCTCGGTCGTTGTGTCCTTGGGCAAGACACTTCACCCGTTGCCTACTGGTGGTGTTCAGAGGGCCTGGTGGCGCCAGTGTCCGGCAGCCTCGCCTCTGTCAGTGCGCCCCAGGGTGGCTGTGGCTACAATGTAGCTTGCCATCACCAGTGTGTGAATGTGTGTGTGAATGTGGATGACTGGATATGTAAAGCACTTTGGGGTCCTTAGGGACTAGTAAAGCGCTATATAAATACAGGCCATTTACCATTTAGGCAAGCTTTCTTGGAATGTATTTAAGTATACTTCAGGAAAATGTCTCCTGGCATCGTGAAGGACATTCAAAGCTCTTCTTTGGATTTTGACTGTCTTTTGTTTTGTTCTGGGCTCTGGGGAATGTCTAAAGATACAATGTAAAATCGATTGTTTCCTAAGTTATCTATTACATGTAGGCATAACATAGGTTCATCCTATGTAGTAGGTGCCTTTTTTTTATGCTTGAGTGATTTATAGGTCAATGTTAAGTGGCTTAAGAAGTACCAAGAAATGAGTGAAAATGCAGCCAGTGTCTAAAGAAAAACTTTAAAAAGGCTGGCCCCAGACTTTTGCACAGTACTGCACATGTTGGAGCTGGAGCTGGAATGTAGGGTGCTCTTGGTCAAATTATCAGTGATAGAGAAGTCATTTGAGTGAAACAGAGTAATACATGTCAATGATTGAGCTGCATTTATTGACTGGTATTTCTACTCTTGAGTATTACAGAAATTTATATCATCATGGGAATACTAATTATCCTTTTAAATTATCCGTTTAGATGACACTGTTGTTTTCTTTGTCCTTATTTATTAATTTTTTTACTAAAATAACATGATATTGCCTAGCCTGTCAGTCCAAAGTTTTTGACTATAAGATTAACAGGCCCAATAATTCCTCTTTTGTATTTCTGCTTCTGGTCAATGTGCATTTTATTTTACAGAACAGATGTCCCAGACCCATGCTATTTAAATGCACTTGCCAAATCAGCAAGAACTGAAAACTGAAAGGAGCACATCACCAAGACTCCAGAAGTTCACTTTATTAGTCATAGTCTTTAAAATCTGCTGCATAGTATTTTCTGTGGATTAGGACGAGATGTGTAGAGTTTAAAATCTTTCAAACTCATGCTTCAGTTTTTGTTGTAGTTTTATTTTACACTTTTTTCCAGTAGCTTTGTTTGTGCTTGATTAATCATTTTTGACTAAAAGTAGAAATCTGCTCTTATATTCTTTTAAAATTTTTATTGTGGTTCTCCAACCTTAAATGAAGTGTGTTTCTAAATAGGACATTTGAGGATAATAACTTTAAAGTGGTTTTCGTCTGTGTATGGTTAGATTCCTGGTAATGGCAGTGGGTAATATGAGATATGACAGGTCCAGGGTAGCGAGCCCATGTGTGTGGTAATAGTGATTTGTGTGTGTACATGGGTGTTTTTCATCTGGCAAAGCTGGGTACACAGCAGAAATTTAACCCTGCTCCCCCAGCCTACCACCACACCCACCCAAATCCCAGTCAGGCTCAGTAGATTTTATAGAAAGCATATTGTATAGAGACAGCCTCTCCACCTCCTTTCTCTCTTGCTTTCGTCTCCTCCTCTGCTGTGATAATTAGTAGTGGGGTAATACCAGGGGTTGAACTGAGAGAGCAAGAGCTCTGAAATCCCCTTTTCCACTCCAGTGGGGTAACTACAGCAAAGGCCTCCCACTCCTCACATGATCACCTCAAGCGCTTTCAGTTGAAGCATGGTGTGTTTGAGGTACTTGCATGTAAAGTTAATCCTGAAAAGTGAGCTAACCTTAAACTTAGCCAGCCTCACCCTATGTTATAGTTTTCTCTTGGACGGGGAAACGGCAAGCCTGCTAAAATGAGATTTGAGAAAGGGTGTCTCCAAGCTCATTGTAAAAGGAAAGGCAATGTCTCAACACATGCTAGGGAACATTAGAGGTGTCTGTCATGAAAGCCTGGGCTTTATAGAGAAAACCTCATCTCTATTCACCTCCATGCCTCCAACATCTGCTGCTGAGGGCACTCCAGAGATCATTAACCCCTTCACTGCGCTGCACGGCTGCCTTTCTTTGTTGCAGAGAGGAATTCAGGGTGGAAAGAGAGCATGAAAGCAAACCAGGAGCCTTTGTGAATTGAGTCTCTTTAAGGTCAAGTTTTGAGAGCAAAAACGCAGGCAATTGTTCACATCCAGATTGTCCCTGGCACTCCCTAGTGTGAGCTACAAAACATCATAACAACTGTGAACAACAATGACTGACATAAGAAATGTCTTTTACCATACAGGGTTGGGTTAGGTATGTGTTTCAAAGTGGTTTCCAGTGATAAATAAGCCTAGAGCACAGTTTGACACGAGATACATTTAGTGGTTTGGTGCTCATTTCAGTGTTTTGCTCAAACAAACCAGAGGGTTAGCGTTCTGTGTATACTCTTCAATGCCTTGTGCGTGTACTGGTGTTTTTGCATGTTTACATGTTCACATGCCATCAGTGAAAGGGAAAGCCGGCTTTTAAGATGCCCAACTGAAACCCAATCTCAAACTGACATTCTGGGAAACTCTGAGCTCCCTGACATAGTCTTTGACTTCTGTAGCTCTTCATCAGAAAAAGGCCATGATGTGAACGTGTGCAAAAATATCCAGACTAACATGGTCTTTTCTTTTTCTTTCTTGTTTTTTCAGACTTTACAAAGCTTAAGCTGCCCTGGATTTTCATCTAGCGACAACTGCCAGTCAGTCTTGTCCCCGCCCACCTTGGACTTAATCGACCAACCGGATTCAGACTTCACAGGCGTGTCTGAGCTGGGACTAGAGTCATGGCAGGAAGTGATAGGAGATGACGAGGAAGCAGATTCATCTTACGAGGATAGCGACTCCGCTTGTAGTGTGGACTCACGGCCTGGGTCTCCTGTAGGCATCGAAGATGGTAAACGCACCCTCTGGAAGGGTGACTGTGGGACACAGAGGGACATTTTTCAGCTTGGGGGAGAGCTGGATCTTGAACAGATCGAAAGAAACTAAACTTTGCATCGACGATTTTAAGACTGTGTCTGGACTGTTATGGAGAAATGACTATTAAGATAAATATGAGGAAAAATAATAGCTAATTTTGTAAGGGAAAGGCTTTGAAAAGACAAGGATGGTGATACATATGATGAAGCATTGCATATGTTGCTAATGGCTGGCTTCTTTAATGACACCTTTGCCTTGAACATTCTTACTGTTTGTTTAAAAAGCAGTAACCTTAGTTTGTTTTGTGTTGGTTTTTTTTGTTTTGTTGTTTGTTTGTTTTTTTGGGTTTTTTTTGGATCAGATATTCAGCTTAACTCAGGAGTGGGAAATTGAGGGTTTGTCTTAAATAAGTGTCTCAGCCCCCCGCTGTCTTTTAACCTGATGACCTTTCCAAAGTCAGCTAACCTTAAGTTTGTAGTACTGTAGCAGTAGCTGGGCTCTCTTATATTTAGCTCAAATTTGTTTTTCCAGAGAAAGTGGAGGGCATCAACAATGGGGTGACACAGAAAGAGGCAAAGACAGACTTACCCTTGGCCTTCCTCTTCATCTTTTGTGCACACGTGAAAATCTGATTTGTTTTTTTTGCTGAATGTAGGCTCAATAAGCTTTATGTGGAGTTCAGAAAATGTAAAGTGCCTTCTTCTGGATGCTTGCTGTCTCAGTTCTCTTCAAGAAACTTGCCTCAATCGAAGCCACCTTTTCTGACCCAAATAGACAAATTGTATTTTTTGAATTAAACACTGAATCTCAAATTGTCAGTTCTAACATCAGTGTATATTTTTCTAAGTAACAGGTTGTTGTTTTTTTTAATGAGCTGTTTGTGCAGGATTAAGAATATAAGGTCTTTGTTCTATAAGAATGAATATGAAATAAACGTACATCCTGCACTCACTTGTCTGGTTTAATTTGAGTTTGTAATTTTGTAATGATTGCTCAGTGGTAATCAAGATTTCTGTAAAAGATAGCTTTCACCCAGACAGATCAAAAGTCTGAACACGCTGCAAAGTTTCCAGATAATCTTTAGAAGCCATACCCACACGCAGTCGTTTCCTGCATAACATTTCAGAGCCATTTCATTGAAGCTCACTCAGCTTGTATTGTTTTGAATACCCGCAGGTACATAACATGATTATGCACCAAATCGTTTCTCTGTAAAAAAAAATTCTCTGTACAGTGGCTACCTAGGCTATTGAAGAATACAGCAAGTCGGGTTTAAAAACAAAACAAAGAAAATTATATTGGTTGTGTGCAGTTCCCAGACAAAATGGCAGGATATCTAGCAATGGAATATTCCTGTCCAGTAACCCTGCACTGGACAGAGGTGATGTCAGGAGAAAATGTGTGGGGAGCCAGACATGTAGACCGGACAGGGTTCTTCCACTCTGGGATTTCCTATCATTTCTGTCCAAGCTTCTGAACTAAGCTCACAGCACCGTCACCTTAATAAGACTTGCCTCCATTTAATCTATTAAGATTAAATTTGAGTCTTGTCTCATCATCATCATTGTTATTGGCCACGAGGGAGGCTGATTGCTGAAATTAAGTGATAGGACAGATTGTTTTTCCGGCATGGGGAGGAAGGCACTCAGTCCAAAACTGTTTATGCTGAAAACAGGATGTTGGAGTCACTTGCAGCCTTTCCTTCAATGATGGCCTTGAAGGAAGGTGAACTCCGACATCTCAGCGCTTAGGTGTTGGCTTACATAAACATGCACCCAAACATGTACACTTATTCAAAGGCCCTGAAATAGATACTGAATGTGCTATGTTTGTATACACAGAAAACCAGTCACCTGGCCTGGAAAACTGGATTAGCCATTGCTTCTCTTTCGTTCCCAGTGGATCGGTCCATCTGATGTTGGAAGAATAAGGATTTGCAAATGAGAAGAAGGTCACATGGCTCAGATTTTGAACATGGCACATGAAAAGAAGCACACGATGTCTGAAAGTTCACACTTCAATGGTGAACTGGACACAAAAGACTGGAAACATAAAATCATGTTGCTATCAACAGTAGTCCGGTTACTCGTTGCTCCCAGAGGTCAGTAAACCACACGCACATACGCAGAAAACACACACACATATTTCCTCTTTGGCAGGAAGTGGCATGCTAAGCGGGGGAGAGAGTTAATATCTGAGGTAAAAGCACTATAAATAGGGAGCATTGTAGTTATGGTTGCCAAATGTAGACTTTGGAGAGAGGGAGACAGGAAAGGCCACGTTAGACAAATTTACAGCGCCCTGGACTGATCGACCTACATTACATGTGAGAAGACATTGGCTGCATTTTCAGAAAAAGCTTCACTTAAACACTGTCAGCAAAATGACTTCAACTGTCCTTTGAGAACTACAGAGGAGGGGAGATTAATGACATCAGATTTTCATCAGCCTTTTCAAGTGTAATCTAGTGTTTGCGTCCAGATGGGTGGGAGTCGTACTTGCACTTCAGCATTAAAGGATACTGAATTGCTTGATGCCTCAAAGTCTCCTTCGGTTATGCTCGTCTGTGGCTGTATACTTGAAGCAGTGGCTGCTTGTTTTGTTAAAAATGGCTTTGTCAAGAATAGCAACAGGGAAACAGATGAAGTAAGAGTTGAGCAAAAAATAGCATTAATATGTATAAAAAAATACACTCAAGCAAGAGAAGTGGTTTGTTTTTTGAGTGTCACTGTGTCTCCCATTGTAGTGACTTTGAACCATATTGACATGATAGCATCAGAAAACTACTCAAGATTTGTTGGCTGCTCGTTCAAAATATGAATCCACAATATCCCAAAGGTGCTTTGTCATTCTGTTAGATTGAGATCTGGTGGCTGTGGAGACCATCTGAGTACAGTGTGATGTTGAAAGAAAGCACTTTGAGATGATTTGAGCTTTGTGACGTTACGTATTGTCTTGCTGTAAGCAGCCATCAGAAGATGGGCACACTATGGTGATACTCAGGTAGACTCAGTTGGTACTAGGGAGCTCTAAGTATGCCAAAAAATATTCCCCACACTATTACACCATTGGGAGGACGAGCCAAAATGGCAAAATGGGCCATGCTTTTATGTTGTTTACCACAAATTCTGAGGACAGGTCTCAGGGTAACTGGTCTTCTGCTAATGTAGCCCATCTACTTCAGGGTTTGATGTATTGTTAATCCAGATGTGTTAGCCCTGAGAACTGGCGCTCACTGCATATTTTCACTGTTTCACACAATTCCAGATAGGTTGTGTAAGAAATTCCCGGTAGATCAGCAGTTTCGGAAACATTCAGTCTAGTAAGCAATCATGTCACATTTACAGCTGCTTAAATCAGCGTCTTGATGATGCCTACGTGCCTAAAAACGCTGGGTTGCTTACTTGTGATTGGCTGATTAGATAATTGCATTAACACGTGGGTCAACAGGTGTACCTAATGAAGTGGCCAGCTAGTGTACATCATTTCTGGTTTTAGCATTTGCACTGTTTTACTATATACACCATAAACCACAAAAACCCACAAACTTTTGTGGGTTAACATTCAGGTAGTAAATGCAAAATAAGTGAACATCAATAAAAATGTTTAAACATTTAAAATAACGATGATTGTATTTAGAATACAAAATGCACTGGCAGTTGTATTGACATCAGTACTATTGCTTCCAGGCCTTTTATTACTTCACATTGAATCAAACTTTGTTAATAAGCACACAGTGTGTGTTACGTGTAAGGGAAAAGAAGAGAAAGGCTTCAGTTAAAACCAAAGTCATAATTATGTAAAGGTAGCTCCCAAACGGGCATTCCCACCTCGTTGTCCATGAGAGAAAAATGCTGACAGCTGCACCTTCTGTTTATTGACGCTACATTTGGACAAATGAATCATCCTGCTTTTACCTGCATCTACATGTGTGCTTGGAAGTGCTTTGGCAGACACCTAGTTAGACAGGTGGCTGGGAGTGTCATATGTCAGTGACTGTCTAGTTCTCCTCACAGAGGTGATAAAGTGCAACCCAACACGTCGTCACCATGGTTCCCATGAACACAGTCCCATCCCTTCCCCCTCTCAGTGTGATTTACATCTTCATAGTATCCTGTAATGACTGGTTTTCTTATACACCAGCCCCAAGAGCACCTGAAAATCCCTGCTGCGCAAGCTGTAGATATCTCAGATCCAATAATGAGCTGACTTTCAGTAGGCTTCATGAGTACAAAAATAATAACAATTAAAGTTAATGTGCTTATAAAATAAAGTGAAAGATTATTGGCTGCCTGATTTGCCTTTTCCAGCAGCCCTATTAATCAATAGACATTTATGTTCTTAACACAAAAACCAATAAAAAGCAGCTATAAACTCTTTAGGCCATTTGAGTACTATTTGTCATCAACTTCAGAAATCATTTGAATTAAAGTAAGAAGTTATGTTGTTACTTGGAAGGTATGGAATGACAGAATAATTGTATCATCTGCACAGTACCTGACCAAAAAAAAAAAGCATCCAGGAAAACCCAGACTTAATTTTGTTACACTGCTCATAACGACTGCACAGTTTATGGGAAGCAGATGGTAATATTGTTTGGTGTTGATGTCCTTTGTGGTATTCCCAGCAGCTCGTTCAAATATTCAAATCAAGTGCTTTTCAAAGGCAATGATCAATGCTGCCAGCTCTCCCTGTTATAAGAAAAAAAAAAGTGCCACAGGGCCACAGACTGACAGCAGACTTTGACAACACGTGCACTGCCAAGCATTTATTCCATTTTGGAAACGTGTTGCCATGCCACCCAAACATTTCCAGTTCTACATGTGATGCAACCAAGCATGTGTTTTAGAGAAAATGAGAGAGATGAAAGTGGGAGAAGGGCATTTTACTCAGTGGAAAGACGTGTGCTGAGTGAGAGGAAACACATGCTCCTTTTTTCCTTTTTTTTTTAGCAAAAGGGTAGTACTCACAGGAGACTGGCTGTTGACTTGCTGTATACACAATGATGACTGAATACCAAACAATGGGAGACTGAAATAGGCATGTTTTTGCAGCGGCTAGTCCTCCTCCATCCATCACACCGGTTACATCTGGGTCAGCGAGTGCTGCCTGGATTGACTTTCCCCCTGCTGTACGTCCAGAATGGCTGCCTCTCATGAATCAAGACAAAATATTAGCCATGTGCTGGAAATTCAAGTCAGTGAATATCTGGAGAAAATGTGCTTTGGTCTGTCTGTCAACAAGCAATAAATACGTCCTTGCCCTTTCACAACAGCTCCGTTTATATGTGGCAACAACATTTTCTACGAAACTGTAACACACTGTGCATAGAGTTAAATCCCTAGATCATGCAAAAGCACTGCACACAGATTTGTCATTGCTGTATGAAAGTCTTGATTTATAATCTGGCTTCAGGTCCTCAGAGGACGCTGCCCTGTCAGTTTGACTCGCTGATGTTTGTTTTGCATCTCCAGTTGGCAAAATGACTGACCAGAGCAGACAGGGTTGACTCAGGACTTGCCACTTGGTCTGCAATCAAACTGAAATCAGCGATTACTCAGGGGTGACTATGAGAAACAGCTTCGGGAGCAAGAAGACAGTGAACACAGCTGCTGCTTGGCTGTTCACCTTTGACCATGGGCATAAATGTAGATAGCAGTGGATGATAGCACGGAGGTGTCATGCTCACACTGCCTGAACTTTTGTAACCACCACCTGCTGTGATATTGGATGTAAAACGACCCCCTGGGTTTGAAAACATCTTTACTGTACACATTTGTAAGGCAATATTATAGTTTATAGTACATAGTAGTCACTGCGTAATAAAGTGTATGGTTAGGAATGAGTGGCCTTGAGTCCTTACATAGTTAAGCTGCAGTAGGCCTAAGCTGCTGGGGGATTCCCATGATGGTGTTTCTTCTTCACTCACGTTTTCTCACTCTCTACGTGTT